GCGCCTCGGATTTGGGTTCTGGGGCGTGACAGATTTAGTGGTATCAGAGCTTAGGTTTGATTAAGATTTTGTGATGTGAGAGCCTAGGTTTAAGTGAATACCTAGGATATGTTTTGAACTTGGCTAGTTAATGGATTTAGAACTGTGGTGAGACGAGTGATGGGGTTATGCAAGGGACGATTCTGATTTGTGTTGCTTGAATTTTCTGATCCGCTTTGATGAGATAGTAATTCAGTTAGTTCCTGTTATCTGCCGTTGGTGAGCATTTTTGAAGTTAATCTTGCTCACTATGCTCTTAAGACCTTGTTTGGAACTTGGTCCCTTGTGATAGTATGCTTGATTTTGGTTGTGGAAGGATGTATAAGGCCTTCCACATTAGGTCTATTTGTTTGACTATTCATCTGGGCATTCATACTTGAATGCAAACATGGACATACATGAGCATATACATGCATACATGCATGCACACATGGGCATTCATGCATGCACACATGGGCATTCATGCATGCACACATGGGCATTCATACATGCATGCATAAAAGCATTCATTCATACATGCATATGCATGCATTCATCCGTTCATGATTCTGTATATCCGAGTGATGTTTATCTGTCTCGGATAGGGTTTCATCTTTTAGTTGGACTCCTCATTGGATTCCCTGCCCTGTTGTGTTTGATGAGTGCCGGACCTTGATTTGAGTTAAGGGCACCACATAATCACGCTGATAATTCTCGAGTTTAGTTACTTGTGTTGAGGCGTGAAGTTATCTCCCACTTCCCAAATGACCATTGGGGAAGGTGGAGATTGAGATTGTTGTTGGCTTGTTAGGGTAGTGATGAGTACCGAGTCCCGGTAAAGTGAATTTCACTATCGTACCTTCGTAATTGTTAGCCGTGTATTGTGAGACTGATTTCCTTGTTCTTGTTGTGTTTGATATCAGAGTGGCGCAGCAGAAGCGTAGTAGGTCATGTTCTGACCATAGAAAATCGATGGGCATTTGTTTTGTCTTAGATTGTGTGAAGCCATTCACCAATCGAAATGATCCTAGATTTGAGTTTTGGGGACAAAACTCCTTTTTAGGAGGGGTGGATGTAATATCCCAAAATTTTGGGGATATTTTAGCATTAAATAAGGGACTTATTTGAGGAAAAATATTGTTTTGGGGCTTAATCGTAAAATCTTTAAAAGTCGAGGGACTAAAAAGAAAGGAAATTTGGATAAGGATCAAGGCTGATATTTTTTGTCCTCAGCCACGTGTTTTGCTCATCCTCATCTTCTTCTTCTCCCCGATGCTCTGCCCCCCGACCCTCTGCACCCGAGAAGCCCCCCAACCACCGCCACCCATTTCCGGCCGGAAATCCGGCAAAGCTTGGGGATTTCTCCCTATTTTCTTGTCTTAGAACACCTGTTGAACCCAGAAAATCCCAAATCTGCGTCTTCCTCCCTCTGCTGTCCGTCGGCTTCAACTTGTGGGTTTGAAATTTCTGGGCATTTTTCGGTAAGAACAGCCCTGAATCTCCCTTTTCCCTCTTGATTTAGGCTTGGGTTTATCTTGAATTGTGTTTTGGTTTTTGGATTGGGTAGCCGCGAGTTCCCCTGCAGAATTTCTTCTTCTCTGCCGTCGGCTTCTCCCCCCCCTGCTAGGCTTGGTTTTGCTTGCTAAATTTTGGTAAGTTGCCGGCTTTTCCAAGCTTAAAATTACCCATTTAATTGCTGGGTTTTGTCCATTAGTTGATGCTCTGTGTTGTCCGAATCTGCTGGGATAGGGGATGAATTTGGTAGCCATTTTAAATGTGTTTTGTGCTAAATTTATGTAGGAAATTTTGTTAATTAGGCTGTTGTGATGTTGTGTAGGAGTAATCCCGTGACTTAGCCATTGTTGGCCAAAGCCGTGGGTCTCCATTGCTTGTCCGGGAAATTGGAATGAATTTTGGGTAGCTTTAAGCTATGTTTTTAAGTGTGGTTTATGTAGAAAATTAGCTTGATTTGGC